CTAATATAACCTTTTGAACACAGAGGATATAATGGCAATCAGGTTTCTCCAGCAAAATAGAGATGTAAGAAAGCAAAAAACACAATTTTTGTTTTAATTCTAAGAAATTAGGAACGAAAGCAAGAGAGACATACTGTAATATAATCAATTCCACAACCAATCTTCTTTTCAGCCCCTGGATGATATGGAAGCAATCTATCTACAATTATCTTCTCATGCTCTGGAATTAGTCTATCTCCACTTACATATCTGCAACAACACACGGTTTAATGGGTCCTTAGTGCATAATTGAGATCGCACTGATATCGAATCTGAAAGAATTCAACCTCAAAGGAAAAAAAGGAAGGCAAATTACTAACTTATCAGAATGAAGAATCATTCTAACGAAGCCGATGAGAGGCACTGTTTCCTGTAAAATTTGTTCCTCCCAATCGATCCACTCTTCTTCTTCTTCTTCTTCTTCTTCTTTCATTTCATTGAAATCTCTGTTTCTTTCCTCACTATCCTCCTCTTCTTCCCCCAAATTCTCACCTGTGTCTTTCCTGCCCACAATACTCGCCCCCCGCAGCAATTTAGCACCAAATGATTCCTGGCTTCGGATCCTACCTCCTTCAGACCCCGTCCTTCGGCCACGGACACGAACCGTCGTTCCACGAAAATTGAATGACGAGACCACCGAGGAAGAAGAAAGCGAAATAAGACTGCAGTTACGGTGCACATACGGTGGAGACTTAAATATCGAAGCCATGGCCATTTACTTCGCCGCTACTCTCACTCACTGTCGGTTACGATATCCTTATCGGCACCAACACATGAGCAAAAAAAAAAAAATGGCCGTTCGCTGCTGTAAAACCATAATATCCCCGTCAAGGTCAAGATTTATACAGCGTTTGATTTTCGTCAGAACGTTAAGAGAAAGTGATACAGACGGCGGCGCGAATTAGTGGCAAAGAGAGAGACAAGTCAGGGCGCTAACGGCAGAGATTTGATATTCAAAACTAATGGTTGCTAATGCACAGATGTTTTGGTAAGGACGCACACAGCTAAAGGCTGAAGGAAAGATCACGACCGTCACTTGTGGTGACCTTACTGATATTGACCGCCCAAACCGTCAAAAATTCCTTCTTTTTTTTTTTTTTTTTTTGAGGAGGAAAATTGGCGGGGAAAGAGAGAAGGAGAGAGCGGAAGCGGACAGGGGAAGAGAGGGATGAGCTCGTCGGCAGCCGGCTGGACGATGTACAAGGCATGGTCGATGCCTTCTCCGCCGTTCGATTGAAGAGTCATCAGGTCTTCCTGCGCCGCTCTCCGACTCCATTATTTCTTTTAAGGGGTTTTTCTGATTTTCTTTGTAATTACATGATGCTGTGATTTTATCAGTATCCAGGACCTGATATGCAACTCCCTTGTCAAGTATGTATTAAAACGTTTACTACTCTTTTTTGCAATTTGGATTGATAAATATTGGTAGTAGGTGGGATGAGGGAAAGGGATAAAAATGCCAGTCAGTATCCATGACCAGATTTTTCAATTTGGACAGATAAATCTGTGTGACTTCACCTCTCTTCGTATTTGTAACACCCCGAATCCTACATCTAGATGAAAACGTAAATATGATTAGTATATAAGTGGAGGGATCAAGAACATAATTAATTAGATTATTCTCCAACTTCTTTTAAATTTTTTTAGAATCACGCTACAACTAAAAAATTCAATCATGATTCACCAGCCTGCTCTAAGCTGGTGGCAAATTGATATGCTTTGAACAGTGAAAAAAATTCAGTCACAATGTTGATTCTTTAGTCTACAGCAATTGATGATCTTGAATTGCAAGTTCAGGCATACAGATTATTCTCCTGCCGGTACCCCATATGTTACAACTAGATTTAAAGAAGAAAGCAATGAAAATTTGCAGGTATTACTTGTCTCTCACTCCTAGTGAAGCACATCTGTACGGGATTTTATAATGTTTAGAAGCTTAATTGCTTATCTTTCAGATAGAGTTTGTGTGCTATACAAATGGAGTCAGACGCGCTACCATTGCGCCACGGATCCCTTTGGCTGAGATAGCCTTAAGATTAATAATCTTCTATTAAGTTCTTGTGTTACTTTCACCCCGTATGACTATCATCAAACACGTTGTCTTGCAACTTCTTTGCAGATTATTACTACTTACTAGAAACTAATTGTGAAACCATAATTTCAATATGCATCGAAGGAATGATGTAAAGATACCGCTAATTCTTTAGAATGATCAATGAGAACAGAGGAAATTAAAGTTGTATTTAAGAATTCGGTTTTGAGCATTGTGTATTCTATTTACAAACTAAAGAATTAATGAAATGGAGAAAAACTGAAGAAGTGAAAGAATTTCAGAAATAGAACTTTTCATTCATGAATATTATTGGTCTAACTCCATGTCGACTAAGTAATTGCCAAATCTAGTTTTTGTACCCTGGCCATGTGAGAGATTCTTAGGTTCTGGGGACATGAGGACCCCCTTCTTAACAAGGGCTCTGGAAGCTTATACACTCTATCACAAAACAAACAAAAAGAATAGAGACTATGAGTTCTCCTATAATTAACAGGCCGAACATAAACACCCTCTCCAAATAGGTTGGTTTAATGGTATTTGTGGCTACCCCACGGTGTGCTGCTTGCAACCTTTGGGTCCATAATGCTGAGAGCTGCGCCTCACCATTTGTCTGCACAAGTAACAGTAGTGCTGTTGGCATGCCCAGCAGAAGATATGATTGTTGTTGCCTACCTGCTCATTTAAAAGAAATGGGAAAACACAGAACACCATCAGTTGGAGATGGGTGAAGTGAAATTATCCTCAACAACTTAAAAATGTACCCAACTTTAAAATGTATCCTTAACAACTTTAACAAGCCTGTCGAACATGCTAATATATTTTCAACATACCCAACCGAAGCCATAACTGTCGCACATGACAGACATAAAAATGTTACTTATCATTACAATAATCATCTTAATTCGGGACATTTAATTACTAACATTGCATGTGACTAGTTCTGTGAAGAAACAACTGGAAGAAAGAACACAGGCTTTCAGCAAAACCAAATTAAATAAAAGCTATTTCTGTAAGGCAGGAAAGAATAGTATAGAGATGTCAACTACAAGAAAACTAGTGACAATCTAGCACTTTGAAACAGATAAAACCTTCATTGGTAAAACAACTACCAGAAGCCAGAAAATATTCTTACCTTCGCATTGAACTGACGACAATTGGGGCATGGCTGCCCATGTCCAGCAAATAGTTGAGCATGGACCTGACCCAAAACTTGGCGTGCATTCATTCTGTCCTCCCATTGCTGAATTTCTTCAGGGGGGAACAACACACAACCCCCCTCCCTTCAATGATGATAAAAGTAATTACATAAATGATTGACCAATTCACATGCTAGTAAAAACAAGCTAAGAATGAAGACTGGTCTCAGACAAGTTGAAATAAATCACGTACCTGAAATGATCATATCCATCAATTGCCTGGTTACATCGATAACAGAAGTACTGCCCACAGTTATCACATACCATCTTGTTACACCCTTCAGTTTTTGAGATTGCCATCTTACAAGATGGACATTGCTTTGCATCTCGAAGGATTTCCTTCATGCTGAGAAGTTCATTGATAATCTCACGCTCCTTTTGCAACTGGTCTCCCTTCAATTGAGAAGAATTCTGGCGTTCCTGTTGGCAGAACTCTAAGAACATTATTTCACAAGTAACATAGAAAAGATTACAAAATACAGAAAGGCATGTCCCCATAACAAGTTGAGAGCTGAAAATTTATCAATTAGTTACAGAAAAATGTGTAGGGTGAGAAAATTTTACATTGAGGGTCCAAGGAGAGTTATCAAAAACAAACAAATATGCTACTTTATTATGGGAAATACATTATTATGGTATTGATTGAATTATTGTCTTTCTGCAAAGGTGAGAAAGTGTTCTATTGTTTAGAGATTTTAGTGTTCAATTCCAAGTTCAGGAAAAATTCAAATTGCTTTATCAAAGGTATTAAATGAACTTACCAAAAAATCAAAGATATAAAAAGATAACAAAGGTAACATTAGAATGTATGAATAGTTTATTAAAATGCGTAAATCAGATCCCAGCCCTCCTTTTCAAAGGGAGGCAATCACCGCAAAGGATATATTATAAGTAGGAAGGACAATGAAACAGGCAGAAAGAAAAACAAAAGATAAGTAGCCAACCCCAACTAAGAATTAGTTAAGTTTCAGTTAAAGTTGTGCTAGTTAAGCAGCAGCTTAGTGTCAGTTTGTGCTGCTAGACAGTTTTAGTGATTGATTAGCCTGCTCGGTAGGCGCCAGGTATCCAAATCCAATAAACTGCAAGAGAAAATGGTGAAGATAATACCTGTAAGATACGAAGCTTCATTTCTGGTGTCAAGCATGCAATGCCTACGTGGCGCTTATCCCTGCAAAGAGTACAGAAACTATAGAAACACTTGGAGCATTGTGCATGCTGATCTTTATCCTCTATGCAAGGTGTTTCACATCTTGGGCAGTAGGTAACATCGGACATTGATTCAAGAGTTTTCTGTAACATTAAGGCCTCCCAATGTTCATATTCTTCATCACCAAGCAACCTTTTCAACAAACCAGGTGGCACCATACCCCCACATTTTGCATCTGGACATTTAAGTTTGCTCACAGTTCCTTCAGCAACATGCATGTCAGAAAATGTTTTCATGCATTTCCCGCAAAAGAAATGCCGGCAAGGCAGCCAGACAAAGTCGGTCCCTGGTTAAGTAATAAACAAAAAACAAGACTTCAACATAGTGGTCAGAAAGGAGAAAGACTGCATTAAGGACCATTATAGACAGCACTTCATTTTATCATATTCAATTTTCTTTTCTAAATAAACATAGAACAGAAGCACAAATGTATTCCCCTAGCATCTTCAATTATTTCCTAAAAAGAATGCCATTGAAAATTTGATGACTATAATGCTTGAAGTATGTTCACATCCCTAAAATACTAGGACAAAACCAAAATGAAAAACACGTCTACCACTCAGATTAGACAGAAATTGATTGCCTACTGTTGTTTTCCATTTTTCTAGACACAATACACAAGCGGGTGATAAATACTTAGAATCACAACATTTAATGACAAGTCAAGTCCTTTCCCTCTGAGTTAGGAAGGGCAGGCACGTATGAAGGAGAATTCAAAATTCCAAGATATGAGATAAACCTTCTGATGGAGAAACACCAAACAAGTTTAAAATAAAATAAATTTTTCATCAACTTATTACCTGCGTATTCACAAAAACAAATGCAGCACTCATGAAGGCTTTTAAGGAAGTTCTCATGGCATTTCTCATTGTTGTAACTCCTGATATAAGGAACATCAACATCTGGGGAGACACTTCCAGAAACAGCACGTCTATCTCCAGTATTTATCGTGCCATAAGGACTGAGCATTATTTCTTTCTCAAACCCAAGATAAGAGAGAGAAGAATTCTGTAGCCAATCTGCCCATTGATATATGACTTCTTGCCCTGCTTGTTCCTTCCATATGGAGTCCAGCATGGAGCAAAGATTGGAAATTCTAGTGGAATCCAACCACTGTACAGAGATGATAAAATAAGGAGGAAGATGGCTTGGATATGATCTGGGTAATAAGCAGGTCAACACAATTGGTGGAAGATACTGAACTTTGAATGTGAACAAGAAATCCTCTGAACTCTCACTTTTGACCTTAAGTTCAATAGATGAATTTAGTTTTGCATTTACAGAAATCTCTCCAGGAGCTTCAGTGTGAATATGAATCTACAAAATAACAAAGGGGTAAGGTATCAGACAAAACATGTAGTTACAGATTGACAAGTAAAAAAAAAACTTAGTTATTTCCCAATGCATAACCTGAAAAGATCGTAAGCCCTTCTGTCTATCAAGGATGAATACATTCTCTCCATAAATTGACTCCATGGCAAGTAACTGAAAAAAATAAATACACAGTGAGATAAGATAGGAATATAGCAGCAATTGACTCTCTATGCAACTAAACGAGTAAAAGCAAAATCAGAAGCTAAGGATGAATCTAATCATCTTTGCATCCTGACAAAATGAATGTTGGGCTTTGGTGTTCCAGAGTTGTAACAATTTTTGGAAAAACTAGATTAATCAACAAATATCATGGAAAGGTCCAAATTATTAGGTTCAACATTGCACAAAAAGGAAACTTGCAAGAAACTAAACAGGTTCAGACTCATGCTCGATGATCACTCTCCAATAATTGAATGGAGGGTCCAATTCACAGATAATCAAAACAAAACACCCGTATACCTTCCATGCATCCTTTCAATACAGATCTATTCTGTGACATATCAAACCAAAAAATGCACGATTTTGCTACTCATGCCAATCAATATGGATAGAGTCATAGAATCAAGAACCACTAAATTTGGCATAAACGTGCTATACAAAATTAAACCAGTGCACATATAGTGACCACAATACTCTCCATGCTTGCCACATATTATAGCAATGCAAACATACAAATGTATTATGGGTTCTACATAATAAATTACACCTCAAGATTGTGAATTTACCTCATCCTGTTGCGACTGGTCATTGATCCTTAGCTGCTCATCCGACAATGCCGGCTCTTCCACCCCAAATTGTAATTCTTCCAACCTACTCATTAAACTATGCGCACCTTCGCTTGTCTCGTCCCCCTCCTTACCCTTTGCATCCTCCTTAATATAGGACTCTGCAACCTCTTCCCCCTCATTCTCTTGCTCCCTTTCCGCTTCTTCACCAATACTCAAACTAGTCATTTCACTGCTCAAATTATTTGATTCAACATCAAAAGAATCCACTTCCTCATCCAATGAATTGGGGTCGGGTTTCTTGGTAAATTTCGATTTAGCCAGATGAGCACGCTGGTTTCTCGATAACCACTTGCGATTTCGGCTTTGTTGTTGACTAGAAGTTGATGAGAGGGAAGGCGATTGAAAATTTGATTCTTCCAGTTGCTGCGGCAGCTGATGTTGTTGTTGGTGATCTTGTATTTGATGAATATCTTGGATGGGATTGACACTCCAGGAATCCCGATGGCCTTGTCTCGATCCATTTTTCCCTCTTCTCATGGTTGCGCTGCAGGTAGCTTTGGCGTCTGGCGGCGCCTTTTATTTTTTTTCCGTTTTACCGAGTCTGGCGGTGGTTCGATGGAGGAGAGGTGGGTATTTGATGCAAAAGAGGGAGGGAGAAAAAACATAATATTTTTATTTAATTAAATATTTTAGAGAAAAATAAAATAAAATAAAACATTTAAAATTTATATATTAAAAAAATAATTGATATAAAATATTTTTATATATTTATTTTTAAAAAAATAAAAAAATTAAATATATAAAATCAATTCATCTCAACCCCTTAAAAAAAATTTCTTTTTAAACAAATTCATAAAGTAATGGATTGGAACCGTTGTCTGAAAAATATACACTTTGAATATAGTTTTAAGGTTATTGGTCCAAATGTCTAAGTGCCCAATCCTTTTAATTTAGAAAAATTAAAATTAGAAGAGTGAATAGATTTCATGTCTCTCCTTTTATTAATATCGGTGGCTTAAGCTCTCGCTCCCTCCCCTTTCCTTCCCCTCCAAGTTTCCCAATTCAAATTAAAAGATAGGCAAGTGAGCAAGGTATCATTCCTTTTAAAAAGCTTTTAAATTATCCAATATAAAATAAGCAAAGTGTTGCTCCCTTTTGGTATATATATATTTTTTGAATTTTCCTTTTTGATATTAATTTAGGGTATGTTGAATTAATTGGTTAATTAAATAAAGTTAATTTATTTAATTTAAATGAATTTTTTTAATAAAAAGAAACTATGAATGAAAATGAATTAGGTTTAGATTTCATTTAATATTAATCATGTAACTAATTAAAAAATCTAATCCAATAACAAATAATAATGTTTTTTTAAGACAAAAAAAAAATAATAATGTTATTGCATGAAATATGGATTTTTCTCAATTATTAATTAACTAACTTTCTGAAATGAAGTTAATATTTTTTTATTAAACTAATTACATATCTATGTGATTTAAAATAAATTTCTGAATATTAAATTTTATAAAACCTCTAATTTAAAAAAGAAAACTCCTAGCTATTTTCTTTCCCTCTATTACTACATGTAACGCTAATTACTAACACATAGTTTATATTGTTATGATATAACTCATGCAATTTTTTCTTAAGTTTATATATAAATCATTAGATCAATTGAAAAATGATTAAAATTTTAAAATATTTAAGTTTAATAACATAAACTATTATATAAATGATTAATAAGTCTTAAATTAAACTAAAATCAATCACATCTATCCCTAATTCAAACAACTCATAATCAAGTTTAAAATAACCATAAAAATTAAAAATAAATCCCCAAAAAAAATTACAAAATTAACAAATATGAATAAGAAAAGTAACACCTAAGAAATAAGAGCAAGCTAAATTATGCTTAGGCTTTTCTTCGCTCAATTGTGCGTTGCTGCCGATGTCTCCTCTGCCCTGTTTGCGAATTGAAACAAAGAGGCGGAGAGTGTTTGATAGCGAAATTGTTATGTATGTGTGCAAATCCTTTTAGCCCATTACTTTTCTTCTATTTTTGGGCTTATGACTTATGGCCCTAAGAACTGTCATTCCATGATGCTATCAAGGCCCAAAATGGAATCAAGGTTCATAATTTCTCACTCCTTCCAACAAATCACATGTTAGATTTGGGATTTGCAACTAAAATTCTACCTAGAAAACACTTGAATGGGGTTGAGTACATCAAACATAAATTGTAGCTTTATCTCTTATTTTTTGAATGTGATAAAAATCATCTCAATCCGATATCTAGAGAGAAAGTTATGATTGAAATATCATTGCATACTTAGACCATCATTAGTTGAAGAATTAATTTTCATTAAATTTATTTTTTAATCTTTAGCTAAAAATATATATATATATCCACGTAAATTTAGATGAAATTAAATTATAAATAATATATAAAAATTAATTTTTAAATTAAAAGAAAAGTATGTAAATATATATAAAAATTAAACTTATCACTATTCATTGGTTTTGGTGAAAAGAAATAAAATTGGGTCGATTCACCTCCTACGGGAATTGTGGGTGCAGGTCATGGTTTGGGTTTTCTAAGGGTAAGGAATGGGACTAAACCACCGAACATCTAACGTATTAAACAAACTCTCTTCAATCTCGATTTAATAGAGAAAAGTTGTAGATAAAAATAAGAATTTTAAAATTTTTATTTAAAATTTTAATTTTTAATTAGTTTTTAAATAAAATAATAATATTTTTATTTTTTTATTTAAATATTATATTTTTATATTTTTTCTATTTAAATATATAATGAATGGTTAAAAAAATTATTTGTCACATCAACATTACTACTCAATTAATTCTTAAATAAAAATATGAAATTAACATATTTAAATAAAAAATTAAAATTTATTATTTTATTTAAAAATTAAGAAAATTTATATTTAAAAATTAATAATAAAGTTTGTATTTTTATCTTCACTACTTTTTTTTTTTTTTTTGGCTGCTTGATAATTGATTTCTTTGATTGACTCTTGGGCCTAATTAAATTACCAGTCAAGAACATTAATAGACTTTCCTTTGAGTAGGTACAAAATCTTTCTCTACCCAATTGATCCGGGAATCCGGGATTCTCCCTAGTAAAGTCCAAGCAGCACCTCACAACTACAAGGGCGTGTTTGGTACACCCTAGAATCCCATTTTTTGTCTCATAATTTGTGTACAGGTGTGTGGACTTGTAAGAGTTTGAGATCAAAGCACATGGTAATTAGTACATTACAATATAATTACTTATATTATCCGGATTATTTTTCTTAAATGAAGGGATAACCTTACTAGATTTTTAATTAATTATATTTATATGTAATCAATTATATTTTAATATAATTATTTTAAGGTAAAATAAAATCGATTACATTTTTATCTCAAGTTTTGTGTAAAATTTTTTACTACTTTTCTAAACCAAACTATATTAACAATGACTCGATCAAATCAGGAAAAGATAACCAAACAGGGCCAACTCTACTAGCATACCGTTCAGGAGTCAGGACTGCTAGGTATGGCAGCAATATCACACCTCTAAACCATCCATTTTTGTTCCTTTTCAGCAAGGTAGATGGAATTGCCACAGACCTCACCTCTTGCTTCCTCTTTGTTTCCACCAATAACGCTCGCCACATGGCATTAATTGACGGCCAGCTTGGACCATCAGAAGCCATTGGCTGTTTTGTACCGCACTTGTCTTTGGTCATTTCTACTTGACATTTACTACCAATTACTCTTGGTGGTATTGCATTGGTTCATACGTACCACAGAAAATTATAACAACATTTGGTCAACATTGTTTCTTCTTACATAGAAACCCAGTTACGTACCTACGCACCGTCGAACTGCGACCCATCCTCTCAACTGCCAATGGTAGCCTGATATATTTTTCAGCCAACAATAGAGGCGAGCTGTGTCATTGCCACCAGAAGAAAGGGTTTTTAGTGACAAAAATTTATAATAAATTTTGAAATTATCATTATAACTCATTAAAAAGATATTTTGTCATTGCCACATCATCACAAGAAGAATATAGGCTTATAATAAAAAAATTTGTCACTACGTACAATTTAGCACAATTATAACGAATTATAAATATTTGGTCATAGATACATGTATGTTCAACAGTAATAAAAAAATTCCATCACTACAAAGTATTTTATCACTTAAAAATCATCACAAAGATAATATAAGCTTGTAATGATGAAAATCGTCATTAGAAATTGTAACACATTTTAAGTGTTGGTCATAAATATCTACATGTTTGATGATGATGGAATAAATCATCTTTGAAAAATGGTCATAGATAGAATATAAACTTCTGATTATGAAATGTTATAACTTTAACTCATTACAATTGTTATAAATTTCAAATACCAATAATAAATTTAACCCATTTTTACCCATTATATTTTAATAACAAAAAAACTTTTGAAAATTTCATTTTAAGCAAATAATTATTTTTTGGAGAAAAGACTTGATTACATAATAACTTAAGTTTAGGGATTTAAGTTAAAATATTTTAAAAGCTTAAGAGCAAGAAAAGTTATAAATAAAATATTACTTGAATTTAATGGTAATATATAAGATAATATTAATTTTTTATATTTGAATTATTACATTTAACAAAATTTACAAACAAAATAAAATGGAGTGAGAAGTTTTTGATAATATCAAATGCAAAATTATTAAATTTAAGTAAATTATTTTCTAATAGGGTGGGGTTTTTTTGCTAGAAGAATATTTAGAATTCAAATTTATTTTGACTTAAAAAAATAATGTCAATTTTATATATTAAAATAATTAAATTTAACAAAATTTATCCACACAATATATATTTATAATTTCAATTTATTTTTTTGGTATATTTAATTTATTATTTTGTTACCAGATAATTACAATTTTTAAATAAATTCCAAAGGTAACTAATTCATGCTTTATTTTAACAT